CTAGCAAGTATTATCACAGGATCTATGCTTCAGTGATCCGATAGTTTGAAGTGCATGAAAGTGTATCTTCAGACAGCAGTACTGCTTCTCTCTTCCACAGAGAACATCCTATTTAGGGGGAGATTTTTGGGGAGTGGTTGGTTTTGCATCATGGAATTCTGTTAGTGTGTTTATGATGTGCGTCATTGTGCCAACTTCCCTTTCTCATGGACTGTAGCAGGAGGTTAAAGGAGGTCTCTGTTTCTTTAATGCCAACCTTCAAAGCCTTTTTAATGTCCTGTTCCTTTAATCACACTTTCCCCCATTCTAATTAATACCCAGTGTGCCTTTTACTGCCTCTTCCCTAGCATGTGACACACAGTATGGAGACCTTTAAAAATTAGTATGATCTATCCCATTTCTTGTTTCTGCCTTTCCTCCTAGTGAGATGCTTTGTAAACAGCCCACTTAGCATGAATAAGTCTAGCCATCTTTCAAAAACATGTGTTCTAGCTGGATTCTTGAGGATAATTTCTATCAGATATATGTCCTTTTCCCTGGACCTGCAAGTGAATAGTTAAGAATGCAAGCACTCTCTTTTCCAAATCTCAGAGCCCCCTAAGAGAGTTTCATCTAATATATATGAATGTATGTAACACTTTGCACAGAAAGCATCATTCATACATTCTCTACAACTCCTACAGTGGTTTGACAGTGTGGCACCCAGTCCTCACTGGTGCCTAAAAAACCAATGCAGGGATTCCTGCCACCTGGTGTCTGGTTTAGTAAAGAGGGTGGGAAGTAGACTGATCCTTCCAGATGGCTATGTGGGGGACTTCCTCTGATATATTTCCTTTCAGTGGGCAACCAGTAATCACTCACAGGGTCAGAGGTGAGGATTCCTAGATAGGTTTCAGCTCAAGAACTTCTGGAAGAAAGGGGAACAATCCAGAAGACACCTGCAAGATCAGAGACTCTCATAGATCTGTTTGGGTCTTCCCCCCTCCCTTTTCCATTCTAGCTGATTATCAGTAGGGCTGTGCAGGATTTATCTCTTTATTTCCATTGAATTTTTTGTTGTTCTACTCCATGGGACTAGATATAGATTGTGAAGATTCTTAGCAGTATGCATGTGTGCTTCCTCCCTTGCTCTCTTTCCCCCTCCCTCCTGCCTGCACAACTGTTTGTGCTGCTCTTGGAAATTTTAGCATTAACTGCATCGTTTGCTGTGGTCAGCTGTAGTGCCCTTCTTGGGTTGCCTCCTCCATTAGCAGAGTGGTGGCTGGTGACTAGAAACAGGCATTTTGGATGTCGTCCTTAACTGGTGGCTTCTTAGTTATTGCTAGTGTGCAAGCTTTACCCAAGCCTTGTAGATATGTTGGTTGTTTTAAATTGTATTTGGTATTCTGCTGTTTGTTGTGTTTTCATGTATTTGTAAACCTCCATGAAATTGATATACAGCACATATTCCTTTTTGAAATAAAATAAATAGTAAAATGAAAACTTAGACCCTGTACAAAATATGGTGACGAAATAAAATTTCTCCCAGCCTCTGTAGTGCATCTGAAGAAGTTCGTTACTGCAGAGTTGAAATTGACAAGAGATCAATTTCTCTCTAGATAGCATCTTGAAGGCTGTAGATTTAGACTCCTAGGTCCAAGGTCAGAAAAATGCTCCAGTCTTGGAGATAAAATCCATGCTTGGATCACCCTTTTTCTACATCACACCTGGTATGGACAGAACTGCATCAGCTGCATCTCTGAGGTCACAAGACTGACTTCAAAGAAGAGGTGAAGACACTAAGAGGCTGTTTGCAGGAGGAGACAAGGTCTTCCAGGACTTGATGTACCTTAGTTTGACTCCAGCCCCTCCCTGACAGGTGCACCCAGCCAGATGGGAGAACCAGTGTGGTGTGGTGGTTAGAGTCTTGCACTGGGAGAGCCAGGTTCTAGTCCCCAATCGATCATGAAACTCACTGGGTGACTTTGGCCAGTTACTCACAGCCCCATAGGGTTGTTGTTGTCAGGATGAAATTGAGAGGAGGAGAACCTTGTAAGCCACCTTGGGTTACTTACAAGAGGAGAAAAGGTGGGATAGAAAAGCAATGTAAGGGTAAGAATAGATGGCTGAAATTGGCCATCTAGCTGATTTGTGGGTTGGGAAGAACATGTGCTTCTGTTCTCTTCCTCCTCTGCATAGGGTATGCATAACCCTCCAGATTCAGAGGGTTATGGGCTTGGATTGTGTCCTAAATGTTCCACACTGGTACACAGTGGCATGTTCTATGGCCAAAGCTGATTCCCTGCAGAGTCAATTTAATATCTCATTAGCACATGGCAACAGAGATGTATCACTTTTAAAATTCAGTGATGTAAGGGGTTTCCAGACAGAAGGCCCCTAGTATTATTAATCAAAATCCCATCTTTTCTTTCTTACTGGATTTTTTCCAAGCAAGAAATAAGATATAAGAAGTAACATGGGAGGGATATAAATTGAAGGTGACATTATGTAGACCCTGCTGCCCCTGCACCCAGTGAATTCTGAATGAGCCATAGTAACTGCGTGATAAAAACAATCCAGAAACACCTTTGCATTTCAGCCAACCTTGTTGTAGTGCCTTTTAACAGTAAACAGCAGTTTGATGGAGAATAGGAAGAAGGGAGAATTGATGGCATGTTCCCTCTGAGGGAAGAGGAACTGTGCGTCTGTTTTTCAATCTATTCAAATTATGTGCACGGAAGGCCCCTAACTTGGTGGGCTCTCCTGATGCAAAGCTGCCTAAAAATCTTTGGCCAGTCCTGAGAGGCAACAAATTCCTCAAACTAATTTTCCATATCATAATCTTGCTTTCCCATTCTATTCATGCCAAAGTATTTCCTCCAAATTAGCATCAATATTTGGAACCTTTTTTTCAGCTTTTAGCTGCTTACTAATGCCTTTTATTATTTTACGAGTCATGAAAAATTTGAAGTTTTCTTTTGTTTGCCGAGCTGCTAAATAATGTCATAAAGATTGTAACTGAGGATTGATTCACACTGGAACACTAGATAAAGACAAGAGAAATTACATTTGTTTGTAACTGGTGATATATTCATCATCATGATAGCTTGGCTTTGGCATTACAAATCCATGACTTGATAATCCAACACATATAAAAATAATATGGGGGTCTAACAGTGAAGAGATGAGAATGTATCACAGTGGAGTATGGACTAGAATGTATAACAATTTAGCTAAGCCATCTCAAACTTGTCTAGTAGGTCTGGCCTGCAACTAAGTATAGTATTTCCTAGAAATTTCTTGATCTGTATTTCTAAGATTGAAAATAGTTTGGTAGAAAGCTGTGAGAGGATTAGTCTTGTAAAGAAATATTTGTCAGTTTGTATCTATTTATTATGTTCTTTTAGAAACTAGTTATATTTTATGTTACAGTTTTGAAAGCATAAACCAATCAAATGGAGAAGGAGCATAATATTCCATGTAACATCAGTCAGTTCAAATTTTAAAATTAGACAATGTTGGTACACTTAGAAATGAATGAATATTTATTCATGAGAGTGGCCTTTGAACCATTTGAAAAGAGAATATAAATATGTAGCATCAGGAATAAAGTAATATCAACATTCAGAAAAAATATTTTGCAAAGAATTAATCCAGTGACCTGGTTCACACATAGTGACAACCTGCTGCTTTTAAAACAGATAGGGAGAGCACACTGCCTGAGGTGTGCCACTTCTTTCTCTTTGACTCAGCAACCCACACTCACCTCCTGGAGAGCATACCAGAACACTGGATTCCTATGGGCTGAACAACCCAGCAAATAACCCATGTTTTGCTTTTGGGTTAACTGCCAGGTTGTTTAGCCTCTAAAGCATTCAGTGTGCTGGATTCAGATGTCACACTCATATTTCACTGCTGAGCTCATGGTGTGCTGTGAGTAGAGTGGTAGGTATGGGCAAGTTGCAGATTCCATGTGTACCCAACCACAAGATTTTAATGGACTAGGTTGTCATTATGTACAAATGGGCTCAGTATTAATATAATTGATTTTTAAAATATGCTTCATTTTCATACATAATGTGGTCCAGAAATGAATTTGCAAACCACCTTATTCTTCTGCTGATTCTGATCTAGCCCTTGTTTCCGTGGGTTAAAGAAGACAGGCTGTTAAGCATGTGATTGCATTGAGCAGGTCTGCTTTTATTCTGCATAACAACCACCAGGAGTGGGGGTGGTCAGGACAGAGTCCTGCTGAGCATTCCCTCAGCTGCATAGCCCTGTCAGCTATCAGCAAGACCACAGCAGGGAGAGGAGAGGTCACCCACTCCTTGCATGCCGAGGTCCTGATTTCCTGCACTCCATGGCTGTTATTCACTGGGGGAAAACTAGATATGTAAACTGCAGTCACATGTTCAAGATCACATTTCAGTCAGCTCTGTGAAGGGATCAAAGCGATCAAGCTGTCCAACCAGAACACAGTTGCACAGTTCTGCTATGCTATAAATCAAGCCTTCCCAACACTGGAATGAAGGTAGTTGTATCCTGAAGCATCTGGGGGGCACCAAGCTGGGGAAGGTTGCTTTAGGCCCTGTGAAGCCAGGCTCTTTGCAGTGGGGAAAAGAGAAGAGGTGCCATGCTGCACATGTGTCATGTGACATCCCATATTAACAAGTTTTGGAAGATGATGCCGTTCATATTGGTGAACAAAGTGGGAACAAGTTCCTAGAGATGACATTTTAAACCATTCCATAAATCATAGTTACAAAGAAGAAACTTTTCTTTCATCTCTATGTATGTTTAGGGTTAGGGTGCAATATGAGCCACAGTCCAATATTGCAAATACTTACAGAATCAGAAGCCAGAGTGCAAAAAAGTAATTAGGGATTCAATGGCATTTTCAAAAACCTGTTGGATTAACAAGTTACTTGAAGCTTTTTTCTGCTTGGATTTTCTACTTTGCCTGCCCTTTTTTATTGTATATGCTTTTTTTGTTGTTTGTTTGTTTGCTCTTCTCCTTGGAGGCAGTGAAAGTGGTCGGAGCACTCCAAGTTTATCCATGTACTCAGACAGCAAATCTTCATCATCTCTATATCAGCAAGCACCTAGACATTTTCATATTCCAGGTAGGCATTCAATGCTTGCTTTGATCTTCAGTTGCTGCCATCTGTAATGTTTTACAGAGGTAATCATGTATAAACAATATGGTTTTAATATTATTAGGAATATTTAATATTTCTATTTAATTTTCTATTAAACAGTTTTTAAAGTATGCTATAGTTAATTGCATATTTGTGTTTGAATAGTCCAGTCTAAACTTCCATCTACTAATAATTCCTTTCTAGACCATCAAATTATTAAGAGAGAAACTAGAAGTGACGTGAGAGATTTTTTTTCCTTTCTTTTTCTTTTTGTTCTTTTTTGCATACAAACACCGAGACCCAGTTTGATTTTGGGATGCAGCTCTGTAGGCAGGCTTTTAAAACCCTTTTCCATCATTTAGTTTCCTAGAGTTAAATCTTGTGCACATGCACATTTGCATATGAGCATACATACACACAGCTGCTGTTAACCATTTAGTAGAAAAAGGAAAGTACACATAATGCATCAGTCCTCTGATCTAATAGCACCTTCCAGGGAAAGGGTTAGAGTGGGAAAACAACAGGCCCCTATGCCATGGGCCTGATCCAAATCATGCCTCCACTGCTTTTAAGCAAAGAACAAAACTGTTGTGCGATGTAATCACAGACATCTTACATTACTTCTAGTTTTGTCCTTAATAATTCTAATTGGAACCAACATGGCAGGGTTTAAAGAAAGAAAATTGTGAGAGCCCTGACTGCAGAAGCCCTGAGCGATACCTAGTTTGGATTTAATCTCATTAGGAATGAGTGAAAATGCCAGTAGCCATTCTGCCAGTTTTTAACAATTGCATTTGAAAGAAGTTTGATTGAACCAAGCAGTCTCTGTTTAACTGCTCCTAGCTTACTATGAAAAGGCAGTATATAAATAAACTTGATCCCACCTTCTTGATCTGAGCTTGCATTCATAGAATAGTTAAAATCATGGAGGAGCCCTTCTGTAATTGCTACTCCCAAGTAAACAGAAACTTTTTCTGTTTTCAGAGTAAGAACTTGGGATCCAAGCCCATAATATTGCTCAAGGGATGGTGGGTTTCAAGGTATTCAGAATAAGAAGGGGTCACGCTTCAATTATGTTTACTGTTTGGTTCTTTGTCTCTTTCCTTTTTCTCAGACACTGGAGTAAAAGATAACATCTATAGGAAACCCCCTATCTACAGACAGCATGGTACAGTCTGCTTTTCTCTGCTGCAGTGTGTTCTAGCCAGGTCCTTTCCCTACCCTTATGCATGTTTGCCTCTTATGTGTGCTGCCATTCCTGCTCTTACTTGGTTCTCACTATCTGACTGCATGGGAGTGTGTCTAGATAGGCAGTTTTTGTGTTCATTACTGTGCAATCTGCCATTGATAAAACTGGTACACTGCATATGCTTCATTTCCTGGGTTGTTTGTTTGAGGTTATTTTGCAAAATCTTAACAGGTACATGCTTTTGTGTGATTAGCCTGGTTAGTAGGCTTGTGTTTCCCTCTCTTCTTTTCCAGTGCCCACTGTCAAAGAAAGCTCCATGGTCATGAAGCCATACATTGCCTGTGGCTTGTGTACTCTTAAGTCCTGTATGAGGTACTCTGTTTTTGTTGCAGATTATTAGTTAACTCACAAAATTTCTCTGCAATGGCATTTTGCCCCTGGAGACATCTTCCAAAAATCTCAATGGTCATTGAAGTGCAATGAATAGAAGATCTGGCATGCATAAAAACATGCAAAGGATTAAGGAAATGACAGTCAGCAAATGCTGCTGTTGGCAAAACCATGAAAAGGCTGAAGCATGGGGGAAAGGATGTGCAAAGGTCAGGTCAGAACCACTTCTAGAGCCCTTTTTCAGTTGCTAATGCCTGGAGAAATGAATGCATGTCAGCAGGGCTGTACACATGCAAGTCATATCAGACACTGGAGAAAAGCCATGAACGTGAGCCAAGTGTGGAGCTAGTTGCCATGGTGCTGACTACTAAATGCATTAAATTCCCCATGCAGTAACACCTGGAACAGGCTAAGCTGTGTCCCCGCAACATTTAGTTCAGTTCCGGAGTGCTGGTCCTTGGACTCAAACCAGAGTTAGAACTTGTCATGGCCGCAACAAGGGCAAAGGGAGCTGGCACTATATATCCTTGGCAGCTCACTGACCAGCCATGTGAAAGCTCGGATGAGTCGTGGCTCATGACGTCATCACCTGGCACTGCTACTCCTTTCCAAGCATGCACATGGCCCCTATGTGTCCTGTTATCCGATGCTCGGCTGCTGGCATGATGCTGGGGCAACTTGGCTCACATGCCGGCAGAGAGGGCTCTGTGTGCCCACTGCAGCACGCATGCCATAGGTTCGCCACTGCTGTTCCAGCAAATCTCAGGAGGGATCAAGATAGGGCACACAGAGTACCAGAGAGTCCTCTGCTTCATGTTGCTGGTTCAATCAAAGCGCCTCTGACAATTGAGGCATGCCTGTGTGTGAGACTAATCAGGTTTTCCTCAGCATGTCTCAACATTTTTGTGAGTCTGTGTAGAATCTGTAAGTCACATTATCGGAAATGTTTGAAGCTAGTTGGAAACTTGTACCTGTAAAGAAGCACAAAGTGATTTTTAATGTGTTGAAAAAATACTAAGAAAGAGAAACAAAGCACACAATATAATTTATTCATCCAAGAAGCAAAGCAGTATGTTGTTACCATGGATCAGTCAGGAACAGAGAAGTCACCAGCAACTCTGAAGTTGAGAAATATTTTGTTCCATTGTGTGTACAAATGAAATATAATAATTATGAGACTCTGTATATTCATGTGTGCTATGAATGTGGATAGCAAATACTTTGTAGTAATGGGGCAAGCATAAAAGGTTAAATCATCCACCATTTTGTTATACTTTCAGTCTGCAAGAATTTGTGTCTTGTGTGACATGAGTAAATCTTGTGAATGAGTTACAGCACCCTTTGGATCACATGGGCTGTAGTATGCCCCACTGAACTCAATGTGAATTTTTGACTAGTCATGTTCAGGGCTGTGCTCTCACTGTATGATGCTTTATCCCACTCCCTTCCTTAGCCTGTAGTGTTCTAACTACAGTGGTACCTTGGCTCATGAATGTAATCCATTCCACGACTCTGGTTGCAACCCAAATTGGTCATGAGCCAAGTCAAATTTTCCTATAAGTTTCAATGTAAATAAAGTTAATCTGTTCTGTACCTATTTTTTAAATCAGAAAAATGTAAAGCAAAGTGACAAAGAACAGCAAAAATCGCGGCCAGCTCCCCTCTACCCCAGCATGACTGCACTCATGCCCGTGTTCCCTGCATGAGCAGGACTGCAGCCATAGATGGGTGCTATCACAGTCACACCCGGGCAGGGAATGCAGGCACGATCACGCCCATTTCCCCCACCCCATGAGCACGGTCATGGCCATCTCCCCCGCAGCAGGATCATGGCCATCTCCCTCACTCCCAGCACAACTGCAATCGTGCCCATGTTCCCTGCACGAGCCAACCGCAGTCGTGGCCATCTCCCCCCGCCAAGTATGGCCGTAATCATGCCCATGCTGGGAAGATGGGCGTGATCGTGATCGTCACTCGATACGGAGTTCGCAACCTGAGGCAAAATTATTCTGAAATTTCTTTTCGCAACCCAATTTGGTTGTGAACTGAGGCAATCGTGAGCCAAGGTACCACTGTAATTGTGTAGTAAGTCTGTCAAGCAGCTTAGGGACCAAGGCCAGGATGTCATGTTCATGCTCTGGTTGGTTACTTATGGCACAACTTGAAATAACTGAGAAGGCAAATGATTTGATGAGTTCCAATGAGTTCCAATGAGACTTGATTGTTAGGGAAATAAAAATGTATGTATTTTGCTACAGCATAGCAGTAAGGAGATGACTATGATAGAAATATTAACTCCACAAGTTGGAACATGGTTAAAAGATCACAGGCTCCAAATTAGTCACGGGGAAGGATATTAGAAGAATTCAAAGCAATAGTTAAACAGCTAGAAAGCTAAGGAGTAATGGCTTAGCTTAAAGCAAAAAGACAAAAAGTGAAGACTACTTGTGTCCCATAATTTGCATTTTATACTAAAGGTAAAGGTTCAGCACCTGAATCATCAAATATGAGTTGCATATCTGACAGCCTTTGAAAATCCAGGGGAAGAACGGGATTGTTTGCAGGCCAGGGTCTGCTGCATGCTGCCCACCAGAAACCTTTTAGGGAGCTGGGAAGGCAGTGCATAGTAGAGGAACCAGCCACTTGGTCAGTCTTTCTCAAGAAGAAATGAGGCCAGGAGGAAGGGTCCTGCCCACCCCTGCTGCTGCAGGGGTGGCGGTGGGTGGAAACTCTGCTTCCCTTCCTCAAGAGAAAGGCAAACAGAGCAGCTCAGCAGCCATAGCCCTGTTTCCCCCTCTCCTGTCGCTGAAAGGGGGAATGAGGTGAGAGGTCTCTTCTGTTCCCTTCACACAGTGGAGCTGCTACTCAGCTGGATGCTAGCTATACCTGGTGGTCGGGGGTACACAAGCTGCCTGGTGCTGGACCACCAGCAGCGGTTCATCCTTCCTTTTGCTGAGTGGAGCCACTGCGCAGCTGAGTGTCAGTTCTGTTGAGCAAGGGGGGCACAAACTGCCCAGCGATTGCTTTCAGAGACAGGCACTGGGCACCTCCTCTCTACTGTGTGGGTCAGTGCAGTGGAGAGGAGGCACGTCCTCCTGCTTCAGCCCACCCTGCTCTCTTCCTTCACACACTGTGCCTGAGTGCCTGTCCTACACCAGCTTCCCACACCTCACTTGGAATGAGGCCAGGAGACAAGCCAGAAAGAAGTGCTTCTTTCTGTCAGGCTGCGCACAGTGATGACATGCAGAAACACCCACTGCTCAGCTGAATGGCACAAACAAGCAGTGGGACCCCCACCCCCAACTTCAGGCTCCTTGCCTCATGCACCTCCTGAGCAAAGGGCAAGGCTGTGGATGACAACTGCCAGTGTGACAACCCATTTTCAACAGTTGTCATCCACACTCCTCTCAGCAGAGAGTGATCTGACCCTGGCTGTGGTCAATAGCTAGTGTACTACCAATTTGTGTGCCTTTTTCCTACTCTCATAATAAAATAACAATTACTTCCTTTAAAAATAATTTTATTTTAATAACATTAAATTTAAGAAGATGAGAGGGAAAAAAAGAATGCAGATAAAACTTGCAAAGAAACACCAAGGGTTCTTGAATAAATGCTACCCACAATATCAGATTAGGAAAATCACTGTAAGTCAACAATTACTATCATTTCCACACAATCACATTTTTGTTGTTGTTGTTAGTCACGACCCATCGCGATCCCATGGAAAACATTCCTCCAGGCCTTCCTGTCCTCCACTATCAGGAGGCCACCTAATGAGCCACCTAATGAGAAGGAAGGACTCCCTGGAGAAGAGCCTAATACTTGGAAGAATAGATGGCAAAAGAAGAAGGAGACGGCAGAAAATGAGGTGGCTAGATGGAGTCACTGAAGCGGTTGGTGTGAGCTTGGGTGGACTCCAGGGATGGTGGAGGACAGGAAGGCCTGGAGGAATGTTGTCCATGGGGTCGCGATGGGTCGGACACGACTTCACGACAACAGCAACAACAACTGCTTTTCCTACTCTTTTATTGACTATAAAGGCTACTCCATTTCTTCTGAGGGATTCTTGCCGGCAGTAGTATACCTGATGGTCATCTGAATTAAATTCACCTATTCCTGTCCATTTTAGTTCACTGATTCCTAAGATGTCAATGTTCAGTCTTGTCATCTCTTGTTTGACCACATCCAGCTTGCCTTGATTCATGGATCTTACATTCCAGGTTCCAATCACTTAATTAAAATTCATTGTAGATTCTTATAATCTCATACAATTTTCTCACAACTTCGATTCCATTTTTACCTATATTTTCCTTTTTCATTTATCCCTATTAAAAAGAGGTTGTGTATAATACAATTTCCATTTATCATTTTCTTTGGCTGGTTGTGTTTCTACATAGTTAGTCTTACCATTGCTACATAATCAATAGACTTATTATTCCAGTCTTCAATTAGTAAATTTCTTCTGCTTTCCATTTTACAGTGATTCAAACTCTCGTCAAGTTAGAATGTTCATAAGCAGCTCTATTCATCTTAAGTCATATTCCTATAACAGCAAAGCATCAGTACATGAGTTAATCTCCAACAATATT